AACTTTGTAAGGTTTAGACATAGTGTAATGTAGCAATTTAATAGCAATAGAGTTAAAACCCAACTCCAAATATTAGTGAGAAGAAGAGATACTATCTCATTTGATAGTTCTAGATATACAAAATACACCTATCGAGAGGACTATGACTGCAAGTAGAAGATAACAACTGTGTATTACATAAAACTAGGTTAGCTGTATGTAGAATATGAAAGGCTCTAGTAAGTTATCTGTCGAGGATAAAGTAGTTCTAAGAAAGTTAGTTAGCATCAAAAATAAGCTGAGTTGGTAATAGTCATAAGGCCATTTCTGTAAATACAAGACTGGAAAAGTGCATTGCAGAAGGTTTAAATAGGCAGAACCTGTAGCAGCCTGCAGATACCAAAAGTGTATGTATGACTAGCTTGTACCTTACAATGTATTAAAAAAGCCCTTTAGAGGCATCTGATCTACTATTTCTTGAATAAAAAAGACCTAATTTTAAGACAAGGACTTTGACTATAAAAAAAAATAAAATAAAATACAATAATATAATCATATAGATCCAAATTGTATACAATCAACTCTCTTCTGCAGATTCCTTGATCAAAATTTCTCAAGAAGCAAACTGACAAAAATATAAAGACTGACATTAAGAAACAGGTTTTGGAGCCTTAAGAAAAGTGAAAGAGCTTCAAAAGTTATATCTAGTTGTTAAAAAAAAACTAAAAAAGAAGTGCTTCATTCGAAGATAGCAGCAAAAAACTAGAAATTCAATAAAATTTTGCAAAAATTTTGAAAAAAAGTAGGAATTGTCATTTATCCTGTTACTGCAGATCAGTTTGGTTATACAGAAATCAGAAATCAAAACAAAGTAAACAAACACATACATGTGATTAAATAAATGACCAATCTGATAAGCAAATCTAGATAAACAAAAGAAAGTTCTAGAACAAATAAAATGGAACGACAAAAATAAGCAACAGAGAAAAGCAGTAAGAAGAAGAAAAAGAAAAAGAAACAAGTAGAAGAAATGAAAAAGTTAGAAGAACTTAACCAGGTAGACGAAGGAAAAAAAGAAATAAAGTCCACAACAATAACACTCATCCAAGCAGAAGATTTTTCATTAATAAGCTATTACTTAGGCTGCAGTATATTGCATAGCAATTAGATAGGTTTAAGAAAGTTTTTAACCTATGTGTAGAATTAGAAGCAAATAGCACAGTAAGCAAAATGAGGAACTCGTTAGAGTTACAATATGGAGAAATAAGTATAACAACACTTGCACATAACAGAAGGCTTAAAACAGGTTAGAGTAATAGATTGACAAGATTTCGAGCCTTAAAGCAAAAACATCAAGCAAATGCAATAAGAGAAGAAATTATTGCGAAGTTTCAAGAAGCATTAACAAAAAAGAAAACCAAACATCTAAGAAAGAAGAAAAGAAACACCCAAATGCAACAACTATTACCTCAAGCGATAAAGAAAGAAATTACAACTAAACGAGGTATTGATAAAAGTAGCTAAAAGATGCAAAAAGTACTGAAAGAGCTTAAGGAAGAATCAAGACTGAAAATTAGTTGAAAAAATGTTAAAGAAGTAGCAGTTGCAGAATTAGAAGAAATCAAGACAGAAAAGCATACAAGTTGAAGAATACCTAAGCAAAACAATGTACAGCAATTCGATCAAGTAATTAAAGAAGTATAGAAAAAAAGAAGAAAGAAAACGGTTAATGCAGATTAGTAGATGCAGAAAAAGAAGCATTTAAAAAAGTTGCGAATTGAGAAAAGAAAATTGTTAGCAAGTAACTCTAAAACTCTGTTGAAGAAGTCCCATAATATCAGCCTAATACTAAAAAAGATAGTACAGAAAGAACAAAAAGAGCAAGAAAGACTGACAAAAGACAGAGAAGCAGGAAGAGCAGAATTGTTATGAGAAAATATAAGTAGATAGAAACAAAGAAAGAAAAATAAGTGAAAAAGTGACCATCAAGAGAAAATAAAAAGAAAAAGAAGATTAGAAAAAGTAAAAGAAAAAAAAAAGAAATAATTAAAGAAGCATTTAGATAGAAATACCGAAAGAAGAAAAAGAAAAGATTATTAATAGAAGAATTTGATAGAAATAAAGTAGATAGATTATGTAGTCTACTTGATAGCAAGTTTGGAAAGAGCATAGAGGTTAAAGATTTAGCTCTGACCACGAGTGTTGACCATGACTATAGCATAGCTCTTTCAATAGAATATAGTTCTATATATAGTTCTCTTAGTTCTATATATAGTTCTTTTTTTAATTTGAGGCTGTTTTACAGCCTTCTTTATGAGCCTGGTATCACTTCTAACTGTTGATTTTATGTTCGACTGGTGCAACAGACCATTCTTGGGCACTCTTAGAAGCAGCTAAGGGGTGTTGGGCCAAAAGTTAAGCTAATTTTTTACAAATTAGTATATGCAAGAATCTTAATAAAGGTGACTGACAAGGCTGCCAAAGAGTTAAAAAAAAAAAATAATAATAATAAAATAATCATATAGGTTAATTTTTGTAATTAACAATAACTTTTAATTTATTAGTCTAATTTAAATGATTTTATTATCAAAATAATCTTCTTTAGGAGCTTTTGACGCACTTTCCCCTGCAGATCCCTTGATCAAAATTTCTCAAGAAGCAAACTAACAAAAATATGAAGACTGACAGGTTTTGGAGCCTTAAGAAAAGTGAAAGAGCTCCAAAAGTTACACCCAGTTATTAAAAAAAACTAAAAAAGAAGTATTTCATTCGAAGATAGTAGCAAAAAACTAGAAATTCGACGAAATTTTGCAAAAATTTTGGAAAAAAGTAGAAATTATCATTTAACCTGTTATTGCAGATCAGTTTGGTTATACAGTAATCAGAAATCAAAACAAAGTAAACAAACACGTACACATAATTGAATAAATGACCAATCTGATAAGCAAATCTAGATAAACAAAAGAAAGTTCTAAAACAAATAGAATGGAACGACAAAAACAAGCAACAGAGTGAAGCAGTAAGAAGAAAAAAAGAAAAAGAAACAAGTAGAGGAAATTAAAAAGTTAGAAGAACTTGACCAGGTAGACAAAGAAAAAAGAGAAATAAAGTCTACAACAATAACACCCATCCAAGCAGAAGATTTTTCATTAATAAGCCATTACTTAGACAGCATTGTAACAGCATAGCAATTAGATAGGTTTAAAAAAGTTTTTAACCTATGTATAGAATTAGAAGCAAATGGCGCAGTAAGCAAAATAATGAACTCGTTAGAGTTACAATATGGAGAAATAAGTACGACAACACTTGCACATAACAGAAGGCTTGAAACATGTTGGAGTAATAGATTGACAAGATTTCGAGCCTTAAAGCAAAAACACCAAGCAAATGCAACAAGAGAGTAAATTATTGCGAAGTTCCAAGAAGCATTAACAAAAAGGAAAACCAAGCATCTAAGAAAGAAGAAAAGAAAGACCCAAATGCAACAACTACTATCTCAAGTGATAAAGAAAGAAACTACAACTAAACGAAGTATTGATAAAAGCAGCCAAAAGATGCAAAAAGTACTAGAAGAGCTTAAGGAAGAATCAAGACTGAAAATTAGTTGGGAAAATATTAAAGAAGTAGCAGTTGCAGAATTAGAAGAGATCAAAACAGAAATGCATACAAGCTGGAGAATACCTAAGCAAAACAATGTATAGCAATTCGATTAAGTAATTAAAGAAGCATGGAAAAAAAGAAGAAAGAAAATAGTTAATGCAGTTTGGTGGATGCAGAAAAAGAAGCATTTAGAAAAGTTGCGAACTGAGAAAAAAAAAGTGTTTGCGAGTAACTCTAAAACTCTGTTGAAGAAGTCCTATAATACTGGCCTAATGCTAGAAAAAATAGTACAGAAGGAACAAGAAGAGCAAGAAAGATTGACAAAAGACAGAGAAGCAAGAAGAGCAGAATTGTTATGAGAAAACATAAGTAGATGGAAACAAAGAAAGAAGAACAAGTGGAAAAGTGACCATCAAGAGAAAATGAAAAGAAAAAAAAGATTAGAAAAAGTAAAAGAAAAAAGAAAAGAAATAACTAAAGAAGCATTTAGATGGAAATACCAAAAGAAGAAAAAGAAAAGGTTATTAATAGAAGAATTTGATAGAAATAAAGTAGATAGATTATGTAGTCTACCTGATAGCAAGTTCAGAAAGAGCATAAAGGTTAAAGGTTTAGCTCTGACTACCAGTGTTGGCTGCAGCTATAGCATAGCTCTTTTAATAGAATATAGTTCCATATATTGTTTCCTTAGTCCTATATATAGTTCTTTTTTTAATTTGAAGCTGTTTTACAGCCTCCCCAGCGAGCCTAGTATCGCCCTGGCCATTGATTTTATGTCCAGCCGGTATAGCAGACTATCCTTAAGCACTCTTAGAAGCAGCCGAGAGGTGTTGGGCCAAAAGTTAAGCTAATTTCATACAAATTAGTATATGCAAGAATCTTAATAAAGGTGACTGGCAAGGCTGCCAAAGAATTGAAAAAAAAAATAATAATAATCTTCTTTATAAGCTGATTCTAACAAGCCAAAATCATCAAAATCTGATTACAGAATCTTAAAATTACAATAGATCAAATAAAATTTTAACTAATAAAATTAATTCTTTACCTAATACAATTGTCTAAAAAAATGTTTGTATAACCTATTTTATTAGTTTTTTTTTTTTTTAACTCTTTGGCAGCCTTGCCGATCATCTTTATTAAGATTCTTAAATACGCAATTGTACAAAGTTAGCTTAACTTCTGGCTCAACATCCTCCGGCTACTTCTAGGAGTGCCCAGAGGTAGTCTGCCACACCGGCCAGTTGTTACTGGCCAGAGGGCTGCATCAGGCTAGCTATTGAGGCCCCAAAAAAAGGGCCTCATTCTATTACTAATCCAGTCATAAACCGAACCTAACCAAACCTTTTGAATACTCTTTTCATTCTCCTCTTTTCTATTAACTTCGGTTTAGCATACCTGGTCTCTATCTATACTCTCCTTCTTCTCGTGTGTCCCTTCGTTGCCTGACCCTATACTTGGAGTGGCTTCTTTTTCTTTCTTTTTGTCTGCTGGTGAGATTCCTACTAATTTCTCCCAGTTTGTCACCAGCTCGCAACGTTTCTTTCATATGTTTTCAAAGAAGCTGTTCCATGCTGTTCTGGCTAGCATTGTTATAAATTCTTTGGCTTTCTTAAATGATTGTATTAGGTCTTGCAGTGAGACTTTAACCTTTTCTTGTACTAGGCCTCTAATAATTTTGATTCGGCTTTTGAACTTCTCTTCTTCAGTGTTTTCCCACCAAATTCTCTTGAGTTCCCTATTTTATTAGTTTTTTAATAAAAAAACTAATAAAATAAGTTATACAAATATTTGTTTTAGGCAATTATATTGGTTAAAGAATTAATTTTATTAGTTAAAATTTTATTTGATCTATAGTAATTTTAAGATTCTGTGATTAAATTTTGATAATTTTGCACTTAGAAAATGTGTACTAGGTTGGTTTCTAAACTATGAATTAGATTTCAAGATTTAGTATAATATAACATGATCAGAAAGATTCAACAAATACATTTGCTCTGCCAAAATTTGCTTATAACTCAAAAATCAGCATAATAAACTACCTTTGTACTCTAATAAAAAGTTTTCATTGAACAATTTTACTATTAAATTTACTTTCTCTAATTTCTAACTCTAACCTTAACCCCAAAGATGAAAAGGTCAAGAGCCGAATCAAGATCATTAAGAGTCTAGTTCAAGAAAAAGTAAAGGTTTCATTGCAAGACCTAATATAGTCACTCAAAGAAGTTAAAGAATTTATAACAATACTGGCTAGAACAGCATAGAATAGCTTCTTTGAAAATATATGGAAGAAACATTGCGAGCTGGTAACAAACTGGGAAAAATTAGTGGGAATTTCATCAGCAGACAAAAAGAAGAAAGAAGAATCTACTCCAAACATAAGGTCAAGCAATAAAGAGACACATAAGAAGGAGAAGAGTATAGTTAGAAACCAGATAAACCGAACCAATAGTTCTCCTATACTTGTCATTTTAGATCATCATTATATCCTTGTACATTATGTGTACATATGGATAGATGCAGAGGTTGGTATGCAGTAGCTGAGTTGGTTGGAGCTAGAAATGAAGCTGGGTTATACTCAGGTTGTAGAAGGTCTGTAGTTATATAATCTACACAGTCTATAGATTGATAACGATCTTATATAGTCAGTATTTGATAACTTTAATACAGTAATTGACTATATAAAAATTATTTAATTATTAGTAGTTCAAAATGTTTAAAGTCTCCAAAGTCTTCAGCAAAATGGCAACTGATATTCCAGCATACTTTTTATTAAAAAAAGATCAATGTAAAAATAATAATCTTATAGAAAATTTTGAAAAATTTGAAAGGATTATAGAAATTTTTTTAATCTTGTTAATTTTTTTATTACTAGCAGTGAGATATTCAATCAGGTAAATTTACAAATTTCTTAAAATATTATAACTTATATCTAATATGCATAATTTTAATAATTTATCATAATATAGGTTAGATATTTTTTCAATATTCAATTTTTTGCACAAGCTTATTTTGCAATTATTAAATGTTTTTATATTTGGTAAATAATTGTATTGCACTTCTCAATTATAATTTTTGTATATACAATATTATGCATCAATAAAAAATTTATTTGAAGTGAAGATTATTTTTTGAACCCTAGTAATGTGAAAAAAGTTCACAATATATTACATTAAAAAAGTGATTTCTTTATTTTGGACTTGTTTTATATTGATAGTGCTTTGCACTAAAAGATTTATATTAAATTCAACCAGTTTTTCTCAAATTTCTTAAATCCAATAAATTGTTTGTTTTTAAATAAAATCTAGAAATGTTATCCAAACCAATATTAATTTTATCTGTTTTCATTATAATTAATTAATAATATTGTAATAAGTAATGTCATGAAAATTAATAATTCAGGAAGAACAACTCCAGATGTAATTATTGTTATTGTTAAAGCACTAGATAAGGTCCAAAATGTTGAATATTAATTTATAAAAAATAATTTTTAAATTAAATATATAGATATCTAAAGTCTTTTATGTCAAACAAACATATTAAAGAAAAACTAGTTGCTAAAAAATATTTTTGAATTATTAATAGTTATAATTCAAATAAAAATAATAAAAAGTTTGTACCTGCTATTAACCAAGTAAGTCCTATATATTTAAAACATTATTTTTATTTTTTTTTTTTTTTTTGGTGTTAAGGTGAGGTCTTGCCTCGAAACTTTTTATTAAGTATTAGTAACCTACATATATATTACATATGTGTACAATACCATACTCTTGTATAAAGTGTACAGACTCAGACTTAAGTAACTATTATAGTAACCTATGCTATGACCGAGGCCAACACTCGCAGTTAGGTTTCCCTTAAACCACTATGGTTACCTACTCTAATCTGCGACCTAAACCTACCAGAGCTTTCAGTATCCCATTTACTTACTATTTTCACCTAGGTTTTGCTTCTCTATTAGCTATATTAAGTAACTCTACATATTCCCCTCATGTCTCACCATTAACCGGTATAACTCCCAAATTGGTTTATTAGGATTCCGCTCCTTTTGAGCTCCCATATTTGGTGTGCCTGTTATTCTTTCTAGAAGGATGCCTCTCAGTCGTATCTCAAGCCAGAGGTCTTGCTGCCGCTACTGGTTTCCCCTCTGATGAGGTACATTGGTCCTTTTATTTTTGGCAAAGCCTCCCACTTGTATTTCCAACTGGTACTCATAGTACGTATCTCAAGCCAGGTTCTGCTGCCGCACTGGTTTGCATGCTCCATGGACTTAATGTTACTCAGATTAACAATGCTATAATCTAATTTCCTATTGTACTCTCTTTTATAGTATGATCATCTAGATATATGTTTCGGATGTCAGATGTGTGAGTAGGTACGACTAGTCACTGCATGATGTATAGGATTCCATTACATTCGGCCCGTAGATCTCCCATCCTGGTAGCACACTGCAAAGCCACCTAGTTGGTGCAACTATACCACTCCTTCGGTTCATAGATCTTTTACATGGTTCTCCTTATCAGGTACTTGATCTGCACTGCAGATACTACTTCCCATCACTTAAGTACTAACCTCCCTATCTTACATCATCTTACATTACTCCCAGCTTCATTGGTTGGTATTATCTAAACTCTTTGCATCCGTAGACTTCCATATAGGTGTGACCAGAGCCTGATTTGGTTCCTTTAGATGTACAGGATTAGATTATACTACCTCTATGTATATTCGGTACTTTCTAAAGCCAGTAGTTCCACAGTGCCAGAGGTGCTTCTGATTCTGGAAAGACCAATCCTTTGCCACAGGCCATCTTCGTGTTCGCCGCTTCACTCACTACTTCCAATCTTGGTTATTACAAATTATACTTCCAATTAAATCTTGTACCTAGGTTGATAACCCTAGCCTAACTGAGACTTATAGTGTGCAATCTGATAATCACACTTCCAAGCAAGTACCCCACAAGTTGAGTGTGAGGATGTTGGTATTGCTGAGTTTGGAGGTGCATAGATGTTGGTGTTGCCTGTTTGCCCGAGGACTTATATATACAACTTGCTTTTGGCCAAGATCTTCTGTAATACCGCTATTACGCATAGTGCCTTCATCTCCACAATTGGGTCTCTTTCTGGGAATTTCTTAATCCAGTATCGTACTGCACTTGGACTTTACCACAGGGCTTCGCATTCAATTATGGCTCCCATTAAGAGTTACAGAGGTATTTTTCACAAAATACCTCCAGCCCGACTCGAACCGTTGACCTTGTCTGTGGGGGTCTAGGAGTCTAATGACATAACCACTAGGCTATGGGACCTAGACCCTATTTAAAACATTATTAAAAATATGAATATTTAATTTTATTAGAAAAGAA